AAGTCGACACACAAAGACCCCCCGTATAGGCTTGGCAGACTGTTGGGGCAAGTGCTGTTAGCGGGCACCCACCGCACTTGGTCCTCATTTGAGGCTGAGTCAACCTAGGGGAAGCCCAGGAACGGTTCAGATATTCGTCACCGGTGTTGGCCGTGAGTGGGGATCGAACTCGGATCGCCGGGTTCATAGCGCAGCGTAGCGATAACCGCTACACTACCGCTCCCCACTCACACAAGTCTGACACACACTCGCACATACACACACGTCACACACACACTCGCACATACACACACGTCACACACACACTCAGAAATACACAAGTCTCACACATACTCACACATACACACACACACGTCTCACACACATACACACGTCTTACATACACACTCAGAAATACACGTCTCACACACACTCACACATACACACACTCAGAAATACACAAGTCTCACACACACTCACACATACACTCAGAAATACACAAGTCTCACACACACTAACACATACACACATATGTCTCACACACATACACACGTCTTACATACACACTCAGAAATACACAAGTCTCACACACACTCACACATACACACACACTCCGAAATACACAAGTCTCACACACACTCACACATACACGTCTTACATACTCACACTCAGAAATACACAAGTTTCACACACACTCACACATACTCAGAAATACACATGTCTCACACACACACATACACACACGTCACACACACACTCAGAAATACACAAGTCTCACACATACTCACACATACACACACGTCTCACACACATACACACGTCTTACATACACACTCAGAAATACACAAGTATCACACACACTCACACATACACACACACTCAGAAATACACAATTCTCACACACACTCACACATACACAAGTCTCACACACACTCACACATACACTCAGAAATACACAAGTCTCACACACACTCATACACTCAGAAATACACAAGTCTCACAAACACTAACACATACACACATACGTCTCACACACAATTCACACTCAGAAATACACAAGTCTCACACACACTCACACATACACACTCAGAAATACATAAGTCTCACACACACTCATACATGTCTCACACACACATACACACTCAGAAATACACAAGTCTCACACACACTCATACATGTCTCACACACACATACACACTCAGAAATACACAAGTCTCACACACACTCACACATACACACGTCTCACACACATACACACACAGACTCAGAAATACACAAGTCTCACACACACTCACACATACACACACTCAGAAATACACAAGTCTCACTCACACATACACACGTCTCACACAAGCACATGGCCCCGGGCGGAACGAGGGAGCGAGCAGTGTGCGTGTGTGTGGTGGTGGTGGGTGAGAATCCACTTGGTGTGCGTACGTGTGTGTGTGTGTACACGCGCGTGTGTCCCTGCGTGCGTGTGTCACGAATACCGGCGACCTCAGTTCGACTCCTGCTCACGACAAATAATAATAATAACACTTGAAGAATATCTCAAGCGTTCCCTGGGCGGACATCAAATGTATACTTGATGCGGTGTGTAAAATGTCAGCACTGGGAATACAAAGGCGCTCGGGCGTGGTCGCCCCCCCCCCACCTCGTGTGCCGTGCCGGCCGTCGTAGGGCCTCGCTAACAGCACTTGCCCCGACAGTGTGCTGAGGCTGCACGGGGGATCTTTGTCTTTGTGTGCGTGTTTGTGTGTGTTCCTTGGTCAATGACGCGGCACGCGCACCCCACGTGCGTGACGCCGCGAGTCCCGGTGTGCGTGTGTGTGTGTGCGCGTGTGTGTGGACGTGTGTCTGCGCGTGCGTGCGTGTGTGAACGTGTGTGTGTGTGCGCGTGTTCGGTGTGTGGACGTGCGTGTGTCCGCGCGTGCGTGTCTGCGCGTGCGTGTGAGTGGACGTGTGCGTGTGTGTGGACGTGTGTGTGCGTGGACGTGTGTGCGCGTGTTCGGTGTGTGTGTGCGCGTGCGTATGTGTGGACGTGTGTGCGTGTGTGTGCGCGTGTTCGGTGTGTGGACGTGTGTGTGTGTGTGCGCGCGTGGACGTGTGTGTGCGTGTGTGTGCGCGTGCGTGTTCGGTGTGTGGACGTGATTGTGCATTTGAGAATGCAGTACTCGCATGTATTCGGGTGTGTTTTAGACCGCGTGTATTTCAGCGTGCGGAGATGTTCGATTCCCGCTCACGGCCAGGTGGCTAATTTCTGAACCGGTCCTCACCTAGGTCGAGCCAGCCTCAAACGAGTACCCGTTGCGGTGTGTAAGCATCAGCACTGTGGAGACAAAGGCGGCAGGGAGTGGTGTTGGCCACCCACCCCTTCGTGTGTCGTGTCGGCCTTTATTGGTGTTCGCTGACAGAATTTGTCCCAACACTCTATGTCTAAATTGGGCATCTTTGTGTGTTTGCGTGTTTGGACGTGTTTGTGTGTGAGATTGAGAGTTCGTGTGTATTTCGTGTGTGGAAGTGAAGGGGTAGTGTGGTGGTTAGCGCACTACGCAACGTTCACTCCTTACAACAGTGACGCTCTCTGAACCTAGTTTCTCCCACAGGTTGACTGAGCCCTAAATGAACACACGGTGTGGTGTGTACACCTCCTCGTAGGGCCGTGATAGCTTTGACGTGTTTGTGCTCGCCAACAGCACAGCAGCAGCCTGCATGAGTCGGCAGGCTGTGTTTGTGAGTCTCTTAGTGTGCACGCAGACTGGGTAAGAGTCCCACGGGACTGGATTATACAGCGCGCGAGTCCACTGTGTGTGTGTGCGCGCGCACGTGTGTGTATGTGCGTAAGTCAAGGGGTGAGGAGTGTGTGTGTGCGCGCACGTGTGTGTATGTGCGTAAGTCAAGGGGTGAGGAGTGTGTGCGTGCGTGTACAAGAGTGTGTATGTGCGTAAGTCAAGGGGTGAGGAGTGTGTGCGTGCGCGCACGTGTGTGTATGTGCGTAAGTCAAGGGGTGAGGAGTGTGTGCGTGCGTGTACAAGAGTGTGTATGTTAGTCAATGAGTGAGGAGTGTGTGCGTGCGTGTACAAGAGTGCGTGTGTGCATGCTTGTGGGAGTCAAGGGATGAGGAGTGTGTGCATGCGTGTACAAGAGTGTGCGTGTGTGAGTCAATGTGTGAGGAGTGTGTGCACGCGTGTACAAGAGTACGTGTGTGTATGTGTGTAAGTCAAGGGGTGAGGAATGTGTGCACGCGTGTACAAGTGTGCGTATGCGTGTGTAAGTCAATGTGTGAGGAGTGTGTGCGTGCGTGTACAAGAGTGCGTGTGTGTGCGTGTGTGAGTCAATGTGTGAGGAGTGTGTGCGTGCGTGTACAAGAGTGCGTGTGTGTGTGAGTCAATGTGTGAGGAGTGTGTGCGTGCGTGTACAAGAGTGCGTGTGTGTGTGTAAGTCAATGTTTGAGGAGTGTGTGCGTGCGTGTACAAGAGTGCGTGTGTGTGTGAGTCAATGGGTGAGGAGCGCGCGCGCGTGCGTGCCCGTGCCCGTGCGTAGCGTGAGTCAAGGGGTAAGGACGAGCGCGTGCGCGCGCACGAGCGTGCGTGCGCGTGCGTGTGTGCGTGCGCGTGCGTGTGTCAAGGGGGTGGGGCCAAGGCGAGGGCAGGGCAAGCGACATGGATGAGAGAAAAGAGCGAGTGACGATTGTTCCTCCCCTCCCTCCTTGCCTCTCTCACCCAACCCACCCGCTCCTCCCCCCCCTCTCCACCACCTCCAGCAACACGCACACGCGCGCGCCCTCCATCCCTCCCCCCTGCCACACACAACCCTCGCAGCCTCCTCCTCCTGCTCCTCCTGCTGCTCCAGCTCGCACCCCCCCATCCCCATCCTCAAGCCTCCCCGTCCGCCCCCCGCGACGCCCGCCGCTCTGCCCGCACTGGCGAGAGAGAAAATGGAGGACGGGGCTGCGAGCAGGTATCCTGGAGGAAGCAGCAGCAGCAACAACAACAGCAGCAGCAACAGCAGCGGCACCAGCAGCAGCAGGTAGCGCCGCGCTATGCCACAGCTCGACTGACGAGGAGCAGCAGCAGCAGCAGCGGCGGCAGCGGCGGCGGCGGGGATTCCACGGGGAGGTTGTGCGCGCCATCCATCCCCCCTCTCTCTCTCTCTCCAACCAACAACAAAAACAACGACAACGCGGAGGAGGAGGTCTCGGTCTTTGCGCGCCGTACGCCGCGCTCACCCCCCAGCATCATCATCATCCACGCGGGCACCACACAACGAGTATCGGCGTTGGTGGCGACGCAGAGCGGGGACGGCACGACGAGAAGACGGGGGGAGGAGGTGCAGAGGAGACGCGAGAAGAGAGGAGGGCAGAGGGGGGGAAGGAGAGAGAGAGAGTGAGAGCGGCTCCCTCTTTGCGCGCTCCTCTCGCTGCTGCTGAGACGCGTGCCGTGCAAGCCGCCGCCGCCGCTGGCGCGCGGGGTGAGTGGTGAGCGAGCGCCACTTCGTAGGGGGTGTGTGTGGGGTGTTGTGTGTGTGGGGTGTTGTGTGCGTGTGGTGTTGTGTGTGTGTGTGGGGTGTTGTGTGGTGTGTGTGTGGGGGGTGGAGGGGGGGTCCCTGTTCAGAAGCCGCTCGGAGCGAGTTGCGAGCCCCCGGGGCCGAGCAAGAGAGAGAGAGAGCCGTGCCGCACAGCCACGAGCGTGTTACGTGTCGTGGGGGGTGATCGGCGCAAGGCAAAGCAACAAGCGGGCGGGTTCGAGTCTTGCCGAGCGAAAGAGAGCCGCGGGGTGGGGAGTCGGGCAATGCGCGGTGGACGCCGCCGCTGCCGCCGCTGCCGCTCCGTGGCTCCGCGCTTAAATGCGAGTGGCGCTGCGGCCGAGCGCAGACGCGGCGCACGGAGCGAGGCGGCGGCGGAGACGGAGAAGGAAGCGGCGCCAAGGCGCGGGGGCCACCTGGGCGGGCCGCGGGGCCGCGGGCATTGGCAAGGGCAGCAGGGGCGGCAGCGGCAGCAGGGGCGGCAGCAGCAGCGGCGGCGGCAGCAGCAGCAGCGACGAGGAGGAGGAGGAAGAGGGGGACCGGGAGCCTCGACAGAGACACCGCCACCACCACCACCTCCTCCATCATCAGCAGGAGCAGCAGAAGAAGAAGAGCGTGGTGTGCGCGGGCTGACGTCAGCGCTGAGCCGCCAGCTGTGGTGAGTCCTGCCGTGAACCCGGTGCTGGTGGGTGGTGGTGGTGGGTGGTGGTGCTGGTGGGTGGTGGGTGGTGGTGCTGGTGGGTGGTGCTGGTGGGTGGTGGTGCTGGTGGGTGGTGGTGGGTGGTGGTGGTGCTGGTGGGTGGTGCTGGTGGGTGGTGGTGGTGGGTGGTGGTGCTGGTGGGTGGTGCTGGTGGGTGGTGGTGGTGGTGCCGGGCAGCTGGGGCCGTCCCGGTTTGAGATGAGCTACGGACAGAGAATGCTGTTTGGCTGCCTTTGGGGTTTTGGTGCTGAATTTGGAATGGCGGGGGGGGGGGGGGCACGGGTCGATTAGGTGGGGAGTGACACGGGTCACATAGGTGGGGGGGGGGATGGCACGGGTCACATAGGTGGGGGGGGGGAGTGGCACGGGTCACATAGGTGGAGTGGGGTGGCACGGGTCACGTAGGTGGGGGGGGGTGGCACGGGTCACATAGGTGGGGGGGGGTGGCACGGGTCACATAGGTGGGGGGGGCACGGGTCACATAGGTGGGAGGATGGTGGGGCACTTGGAGTGGCATTGCTGGTGGCAGTGCTGGTAATGGGCGTGATAGTGATGATCAAGTTGGTAATGATGCTGGCGATGGATGATTTGCTCTTTGTTACGGTGCTAGAAATTGTGGCAACGGTGGTGGTGACAGTGACATGTGGTGATGTGGTAGCGATGGTGATGTTGACGGTGGTAGCGATAGTCGTGATAATGTCACTGACAGCGCTATATGATGATGGTGGTGATGGTGCCCGTGATGGTTGTGGTGACGGATCCAGGTGGTGGTGCCAGTGATGGTGGTTGAGACTGTATAGGTCGGTGTTGTTGGAATATGAGGTCTCAGGCTGGAGATGAGAGCTCTGTGAGCTGAGTGGTGATGAGTTGGTGTATCTGGTGAAGATTGGCAGGGCAGGTGTTAGTATGTGCGTGTATCCTAACTCAGTGTCTTCTGGGTTTCGATTGCCCTTCGTGGCTAACACATGGGTTGTGGATATCTCAACGTGTTCATGGACATCATCTTAGATGGACCCAGCCTTCAAAGGGTGCCTGGTGCGCTGTTCGAACATCGGGATTGTTGAGACAAATTCGGTTGTGGCCAAATCACCCTCCTCTGTTCCGGCCTTCGCAGGTGCTCGAGAAGGGCCACGCGTTCCCAACAGTCTGCTAAGACCACATTACGGGGCGTCAACATCATTGCCTCGTTGACGTCTGAACGTGTTGTCTATGTTATAGTGGTGTGTGTGTGTGCGACTCAAACCTCAAATGAGTACTTGGTGCGGTGGCGTAAAAACATCACCGCTACTCGGGAGACAAAGGCGGTCGGGACGTGGTGCTGATCACCGACCCGGCTTCGTGCGCCGTGCCGGCCTTCATAGGTGCTGCTATTCGCGAACACCCCCCCCAGCAGTCTGTCAAGGCTATACGGGGAATCTTTGTTTATGTTTGTGTGTGATTTAGACACGTGCGCGCGCGTATTAAATTATACGCACGCGCGCGCGTGTATGTATGTTCGTGTGTATTTGTGTGTTTGTGTGTGTTTGTGTGTGTTTGGGGGTTAAGAGACATGGGAAGGATGGGTGATAAAGTTCCGAAGTGTCTGGAGGGAGGGGGTCGTGTGTGTGTGTCGGGGATGGGGGGGGGGTCCCAGAGGGATTCCCCGTGGTGGAGTGGGGGGGGCGTACACCTCTCATCCTCACCGCTCTCACCGTGGACACGGCTCGCCCCCACCTCTTCTTCCTCCTCCACCACAACCACCACCACCACATCCACCACCACCACCACAACCACCACCACCACAACCAACCTCCAGCTCCCCTCCCACTCACTCACCGGCTGGCATGGCGCCGGACTGTGGACCCTGTGAGGCCGCTATAATCATCATTATTATTATTTATTGGCGCTTCGGCCGCGTGCGCGTGCAGAGCAGGGCCCTCGGTCCCGTCCGAATCGGGTGCGGGGGACCGCTGTAGGTCGGCTTCGTGGTAAAAAAAAACTAAAACTAAAAAACACAAAAACGGCAGCTCGCTCGCCCGTTCGCCCGCGGCCGCGCCACGCTGGGCAAGGGGGGGCGCCCGGGCCAGCTGCGCCGCGCGGGTACGAGGAGGAGGAGCAGGGGGGGGGGTCCAGGGACTCGTCCGTCTCAAGGTACCGGAGCCGAAGGAGTTTCAAGTCGGGTACACAGCACGGAGCGCGCACACACACACACAGCATACTCAGGGCAGAGTACACACACACACCATACTCAGGACAGAGTACACACACAGCATACTCAGGACAGAGTACACACACAGCATACTCAGGACAGAGTACACACATACAGCATACATAGGTCAGTACACACATCATACTCAGGACAGAGTACACATACAGCATACTCAGGGCAGAGTACACATACAGCATACTCAGGACAGAGTACACACACAGCATACTCAGGACAGAGTACACATACAGCATACATAGGTCAGTACACACATCATACTCAGGGCAGAGTACACATACAGCATACTCAGGGCAGAGTACACATACAGCATACTCAGGGCAGAGTACACACACAGCATACTCAGGGCAGAGTATACATACAGCATACTCAGGGCAGAGTACACACACCATACTCAGGACAGAGTACACACACACACACCATACTCAGGGCAGAGTACACACACAGCATACTCAGGGCAGAGTACACACAGCATACGTAAGACAGAGTACACACAGCGTACGTAGAACAGTACACACACACACATCATACCCGTAGGACAGAGTACACAAAGCACACGCCGTGTTCACACAAAGCACACACGTAGGATAGTGTATACACACAGCACACAGTACAGACCAGCAGTGCATACGGTGGTAGACACACTACAGGTACGATACACGCCACACCGTTATACACACTGCACAATTCGCACTGCACAATTGACACTGCACAATGTACACTGCACAATGTACACTGCACAACAAACACAAAGATCAGATGAACAGATCGTTGGTGCAATTGCCGTGTTAGCGGGCAGCAGTACCTATGAAGGCCGGCACAGTGCGCGAGGTTGGTGGGTGGCCAGGCATCACACCCGACCGTCTTTGTCTCCCCCAGTGGCGATGTTTTACACACTGCACCAGGTACCCGTGTAATGTCGAGTTCACCTCCGGGAGGCCTAGGACAGGTTCGGATATTCGTCGCTGATATTGTTCGTGAGCAGGAATTAAACTCTGGTCGCCGGGTTCGTTGTGCGGTGTGCTAACCACCACGTACACGACATCACACGCAGCACACTACCCACGTCCCACCATAGACTACACCACACACACAGCACAGTACCCACGTCCCACCATAGACTACATCACACACACAGCACACTACCCACGTCCCACCATAGACTACACCACACACAGCACACTACCCACCATAGACTACATCACACACACAGCACACTACCCACGTCCCACCATAGACTACATCACACACACAGCACACTACCCACGTCCCACCATAGACTACACCACACACACACAGCACACTACCCACGTCCCACCATAGACTACACCACACACACAGCACACTACCCACGTCCCACCATAGACTACACCACACACACAGCACACTACCCACGTCCCACCATAGACTACACCACACACAGCACACTACCCACGTCCCACCATAGACTACATCACACACAGCACACTACCCACGTCCCACCATAGACTACACCACACACAGCACACTACCCACGTCCCACCATAGACTACATCACACACGCAGCACACTAACCACGTCCCACCATAGACTACATCACACACACAGCACACTACCCACGTCCCACCATAGACTACATCACACAGCACACTACCCACGTCCCACCATAGACTACATCACACACACAGCACACTACCCACGTCCCACCATAGACTACACCACACACACAGCACACTACCCACGTCCCACCATAGACTACACCACACACACAGCACACTACCCACGTCCCACCATAGACTACACCACACACAGCACACTACCCACGTCCCACCATAGACTACACCACACACAGCACACTACCCACGACCCACCATAGACTACATCACACACACAGCACACTACCCACGTCCCACCATAGACTACATCACACACGGCACACCACACACACACACGGCGCGCTACGTACTGTACGCTACACATCACACTGTACATCGCACACTGCACAACACAACTCCACTCACGACAACACCACGCCACCATACACCACAACACATTATACCAGGCCCCACATCACCACGCACCACAACAAGTCCGAGTTACCGAGTCTCGCAGAGCCATCGTTGAGTGTCACCGAGACCCACCACGCCACGTGTTGAGTCTCCCCGAGTCTCGCTTAGCTTGAGGCTCACCTTGAGCTTCTTGCTGGAGCCCGAGTCTCGGCGAGTCTCATTGAACATCGCCGAGTCTCGCCGAGTCTCATTGAGCCACGTCGAGGCTCACGGGGGCCGCGTTTTTGTGTTTCCACTGAATTCAGAATCTCACTGTAGCGGCTCTTGAGCCTCCACTCAAGTCTCAGTGAGGCCCTCCCCGCTGCGGGGCTCCGAGTTTCTCGTCGTTCAACACGCAGCCGTGGACACGTGCTGTGTAGATCTGCACACGTGTTGTGTAGATCTGCACACGCGTGTTGTGTAGATCTGCACACGCGTGTTGTGTAGATCTGCACACGCGTGTTGTGTAGATCTACACGCGTGTTGTGTAGCTCTACACACGCGTGTTGTAGATCTACACAACACGCGTGTGCAGATCTACACAACGCGTGTGTGCAGATCTACACACGCGTTGTGTAGATCTGCACAGCACGTGTGCAGATCTACACAACACGCGTGCAGATATACACAACAGGCGTGTGTAGATCTACACAACACGCGTGTGCAGATCTACACAACGCGTGTGTGCAGATCTGCACACGCGTGAGTGTGTGTGTGTTTTAGATCTG